ACATTATATTCATGATGAGCTGCCAGCTGCCATATTTTCCACTTGGATGCACAAAAATGTAAGTATGAAGTCTTAAAACAATAATTTGCAAGCACAATTGCAAGCACAGCCTTATTCTGTGTGGAATTATTTTAGACTCTTGCCTTCAAGATACAGTATACAGTCAAACTTTCTACACACATCCTTTATGTTTTGAATGCTGAAAAATATTTCCTTCATCTTGAGTAAAATATCAGAGTCTTGTATCAAAACAGATCATGCCATAGTCATAACCATACACTTTCAGGCATATAGTGTTTACAATATTTGCAGACATGCATAGAAAATACACTTTTTCTCAGCTCTAACAAAGAGCTGAGACTCTTATCATCAAGGCTTCTTCAGCAAAAATGCATGATGTTCAGCTGCTTATTTGTCACATGTCTTTTTAGATAATGTGACAAAGCACAATAATAAATATTCATACTATGCAAAAATTTTTCAGAGTGTAATTCACATATTGTCTTTTTATACAAACTAAAACTTTGGGTCTGGTAAACATCTGATAAAAAATAGGAAGAACAGAATTTTTGTATACGATGTAACCATTCATAAAAAATTCATACAGAAACTCTCTTTCTTCAGCCATTATAAGTTTTTTTCTGTATCATTATCTGATTTACCCACTACCCTGAGCAATGCAGACCTTGGTGTTACTAAATCTGTATCAAGTACTAAAAGTTATTAAAGAGGTATATCATGATAACTGGTGCACATTAATATTATTGTTGAAAGGGAAGGTAAAATGAAATAATAATATTATTAATGGAAATAGATAGATGGTAGAACACTGAAGGGAAAACACAATGATTTTATTGCTGAAAGAATGACATCCAGAATGACTTACAGTATGTACATTCAAGACCAACAGGCCATTTTACAGTTGTGGGCTGGGTGTCATCAGGGTGCAAAGAAACTCCATTTTACAGCCTGCCATTCGGGCAAGCAGTAGCTGGCATGTACTAGCCCACAAGTCATTTCAACTAGCCCAAAACCCTTTTTGATTAGCAGGATTGATTACAATCCTTCTGTAAATTATTTGAATTTCCCCCCAAAAAAGCACTTGCCCGTGGGGCACGTTAAAAAAAATCACTAGCCTGATAGCAAAATCCACTAGCCCTGGGCTAACAGACACGACTTTCTTTGCACGCTGTGTCATAGTCTTTGAGCGAATGTGAGGCTGAGGTTGATACGATTAAACTTCCTTCCTTTTTTTATAAATGTAAAATTTTGTTGAAAAAAAAATATTTGCATAAGAACAACATGATCTACATAATAAAGAAGGAGGGGTTGTATCAAAACGAGGTGAATTCCAGCCTCGACTGTGACTGTGAAATAGGCTATTATTGCGTTCCCTTTAGTTGTGGATGCAGATTTAGTGTTTGCTTATACTATGGACTACATTTACATGTATTAAATAACCAGCAAAAAAGTGATTACCGTAAGTCAAGTACATGTATATGGTGGGTCCTCCCTTGAGCATTTATTATAAATTTATTACAGTGAACCGCATCCGTTAGGAAAGCACCCAGACGTTTACCGACTCCAATTCTTCCCTAGTTTTGTAGTAAACAGGTAACTTATTTTAATAGAAGGTGTCACGGTGAGGAATGTTTTGAAAAAAAAATAAAAAATAAGGAGGTCTCTGAGTCGCTACATGCATCACTCCGTCATTAGGAGGCAGTACAGTCAGAAATTCACAACCTGGCAAGAAACAGAAAAACTAAGCCTAAGCTTACATAAAACTCAACAACATTTAAATAATTGAAAATCAAGACGTTGTACACAGTTTGAGTGATAAAACATACCACTTAAACAATAAACTTACCTTTCTCCGTTTTCCTCGGGTCGGCAGGACGTTTCAGTGAAGTTGAAAATACGTTTCCTCCTCCAAAAAAGACTCAATTGTAGCATTTTGTAAATTGAAAATTTCCCATCCCAGCCGGTGTACTTTGCTTTAGTTGAGTTCTTTTTGCGACGCACTCAGCAATGTGCGCATATACAAAAAATCTTGTCAACGACCCCTATATGTGCTATAGGCTAAGAGAAAGACATCACACTTTGTAAACCTTTCCATGCCGTCTTGAACGAACGATCGAAGGAGGATGCACAAGGTATCCAAGGGCGGTTTGAGATATGGAAACTAGCATTTACCGGATGGCTTTGGCAGCCATCTTTGTTTACTCACTTGCGCACGGTGAGGAGACTGAACACTACAAAATCTAACAGCCAATCAGACAAAAGTCTCCTTTGTTCATAAGGACCTTAAAGGCCTACTCAAGCATGTTAAGGCATGGCTCAATTTTTGCTCTCGACCCCCCGCGAAGATAAAGCTGTTATTCTTCTACGGCCATGCATTTTAATTCTAAAAGTTGCAAAAACTTTCGAGAAACTTTCTTTCGAGGTGTTGAATTAATTAGGGTTGAAGTGATGTAGTCACGTGAAACGTGACGTCATAATGATATTCAAAAAGAAATTCAAAATGGGGTAGGAATGGTTGATTACAACTAAGTTTGAACCATGTGTAAATGTTTGTTTTACAGTACGAATTTTTTCCGTGGCCGGAACGGTGAGAATTTTCAATTACTTAAAAAGATATTAACAGGTGAAAGGTGTCACGTGACCTATTTTGCTTAATTACTAATTAAATAAAAACGAGAGTCAACCATTCTGGCCAGATTCCAGCGAGAAATGATGATACAAGAACAAAAATGGCATCTCGCCACTCCCTTTTTAGTTTTCTTTTCTTTCCTGGACTCGATCATAAGTGGTCACGTGACACAGGTATCTGATTTCTTACGTTACAGGAAAATTAAGGCTACTGATTTTTCCGAGGTTGCCAAATTTTGGAGGGTTCTGATAAATTTTCACAAAGTTATGATCATTATAAGATTTTATGCAAATTAGCCTTAGGCCATGCCTTAACATGCTTGAGCTAGGCATAGAATTCAAGAGTCCCACAGGCAATTACCGTGTATCAGAAGCTCAAAAAGAGATGAAAAAGCCTTACGTTAATAATGGCTATGCATATATCCTTTGTAATGACTATGATAAGATCTGCAAAGCAGGCCAGGAATATATGAAAGGCATAAGAGCGCCATGTAAATATTGCAATAAAGATAATTCCCACTCATCTATATCTCCCTGTGTAATTAATTCTAGATTATCTATTTCACTATTTTGAGATTCAAATGATTCATCATCTTCGTCAATAAACGAATATCCATATTCATCGCCAGTTTCATATTCATCAATAAATGAGTAATCAAATTTCGGTTTTTCGTCTATAAATGCATATTCTGCCAAAATTACATCAATAGATGCATATTCTGGATGTCAATAAATAAATATTCATGTTTGTTCTCGATTTTTGTCTGTTTATATTTTTGCAGCTCGTTTTTGAATTTGTCAATATCAATTATTTCGGATTTTGGCCATATATTTTCGTTCTGGTAATATTTTTCTATTATTTCTTCCTCTTCTCTATCCTGTTTTCTCTCCCACATCCAATAATCTAAACTGACAATATCGATATCTGCATATTTGGCATCTAATTCAGCTTTTTCTTTTGCTATAAATTCGGCCTCAATTTCCCGTTTGGCTAATTCGAGCTGGTATTTATATTCCACGGATTTTTTGTCCACTTTTGGCTTAGCACCAATTTTGTAGATAACTTACTGCCAGTAATTTTGGCTCTCAGTTTTCGTAATTCAAAAATTTTATCTGAATAGGTTCCGATCTGGTTGTCAACTTCACCATTAATAGTGTACCTTATTATAGGAAATTAACGCTCCATGAAATTAACGCGAATCGTTAAAATTCGCGTTAATTTAAGTCGCGTTAATTTTGTTGAGTGTTAATTTCCGCGCTCTTCATTTCCAGTCTTTTAACCTCAATTTTGGAACCTGTTCAGACATTCTTGACACCTAAAAACATTAACTACAAGCTTTCTTTCTTTCCATTTACCCTCTATTTTTCATCTTTCACAAAAGCTAAGACGATGGTAATTACAATATTTCGAGTTCATCGCTGTCAGAAATAATGTCAGCTCAGTTTTGTTCAGTTTTGAATTTTCTTGCATCCAGGGTTGAAATAAATTTGTTCCAGTTGTCACCACCAACTGTGTCTTAATCGCGTTAATTTCCTTTATTATGAAACTCTACCTCCTCTGTGGCGTTAATTTCTTTTATTCGAAAGTCGTTTTCCATTAAATTCGCGTTAATTTAAGTCGCGTTAATTTCCAATACCTTAATTTCATGGAGCGTTAATTTCCTATAATAAAGTATATCGTTTTGTCTTTAAGTACCTTTCGTTTTTGCTTAATAATTAGTGAAAATGGGGGCTCTCTGTAGGGGTATGTAGATTTCAGGCATTTCAGCCATCGTAGTCATAATGATACAAGGCATTTTTTGTGCCCAATCAGGAGCCGGCATCCGCTTGAATTTTTGGAAATAGTTCGGTGAGAGTCGGTACCCAGGGGCTCTTTCGCCCGTACCAACTAAAAACCACCTAATCTGTTCAGAATACTGAAAACTTTCGTTCCGCCTTTTCTCCCGACCCGACTGACTGTCCCTGGGTCTCAAAGGATGGGTCGGTTGTAGATAGTCTTACATATTGTTTAGGGTAGTTAGGGTTTATTATAAAATCGTTTTTATACTCCTGATGGATTTTACCGTGTTTAAATAAATAATTATTGTATTCTATTCTATTTAAGATTTAATCAGTAAAGGAAAAGAACTTGTACGTTAAACACCTAGAGTACCGTTTTCCTCCAGTTTCCTTCGTTCTAAAAATTAGTTCTTTCCTTTTGATCTTCCAACGTGAATAGAAGCATATAAACAGCAAGAGACTGCTTATTTGTACAAATGGTAACATGGCGTGATTTTTTTTTTCACGTAGCTAGCTTACATTAATGTATAAAAACATGATAGCCTCGACAATCGACAATCTATAAACAATATTTATTTGTAGTCGCACATATGGTGAGCGAAAATCCAACTAGTGGTCTATTATCAATGCTGCGTTCTGATTGGTTGAGCTACTACTAGGCTTTATGTTATAGCCCACTAGTAGAGAAAAGCGCGGGTTTTTTGGAGGCAAAAAAGGATTAAAGTCTCGCTTTAACTAGCTAAAATTTTTTGTTCTCGATATTTTGAGTCAATAGCCCATTCGGCCGTATTGACTCAGAGCCCATTCGGGCTCGAGGAATAATTGTTAATTATACGGATAAGATTCGATCGGAGTACAGGATGTATATAGGTGGATCAGGGGTACTGAAAAGGATCGAGGGCTTAGAGGAGCCCGAAACAGAATTATATTAGAGATTATAGGGAATCCATTAGACTACAGGAAAGATACATGTACAGGGGTAACTAAGTAGGTATGTAGGTAAGGGGTTTTATAATTCAGGTAGAGAAGGTTAAAAGAGATACCTGAGATCATAGAAGATATTTAACAAATATTCCTTGAAATTGAGGTCAACATTGACAGAATATTCATCGAGTAGACTAATTTTTCCGGGTTTTCGTCGGCGTGTTGTGGTTCTTTCTATCAAAAATTTGTAAGAGAAACAGACATTGGATAAAGTATAATTGTGAGGCTTATGATGGTCTTTCGTTTTTACGGCTTTTAAGTAAAACCGACTGCAAGTAGAAAACTAACCAAAAAGACTTTCAATGGAAAAAAGGAAAACCTGACCATAAATTCATGCAATGTAAAAGAGCTACTCATAAATAAAGGACTTGAAATCTCATCTTCGCTGGGAATAATATTAACAAAAAACCTTAAGAGAGCATTTCAGTCCACCATGTCAAGTTTCCTGACATTTATTATGAACTATAAGGCGGAAGACTATCATGGATGTTCTTGTTTGTTTCACGGAGGCAACCCTCTCTTATCACACACATTCAGGTTTGTTTTCATCTTCTCCTTTATATTCTTAGCTTTAAAAGGTTTTTTTCTATTTTCATTTAATGTTGACATTTCATTGTTGTTCATGGGAACTTTACTTCAGGAACTCCAGTCGGTTAAATTTAATTTTAAAATTTGGCCCCTATTCTTTATTTAGTTCAGAAAAAGATTCGAAATTGTTTCTTGAGTCAATAAGATTGTAACACTCGCGCGCTTGCTGTGAGCTGCCCCGTTTTCTCATTGTCTTTATATTAATACCAAAGCGTCCCTAATTAGCATTTTTTCAAGCCCATCACTAGCTGATCAAGTAATCAACCTAACGTTCCTCAAACGAAATGGGATAAGTGACCAAACGCTTGTTGTCCCAGGCGTAGAGCACTTTTTCTCTAGGGTTGTAGGCCACCATGGAGTTTAAGCCGTACTGATTGGTGAACTGAATGTTGGGGTTCCATTGTTTTCCAGTCTTGGTGTCGTAAGCAAAGTTGATGGTCGTGGACTTTGAATTATAGCTGTCGATACAGTAAACCACTCCACAGGCCACAAAAGCATTTCCCATTGAGCTCATAACTTCTGCGAAATAACATTAAATGGAAACTCGGAGTAAGATAATTAAACTATTTGCCCACTTTAGTATGAAAAGTCATTCAACTGAGTAACAAAGACTTGCGAAATTAAAAGATATTCAGTTTTAAAACAAAGGATGCGTATTTGAGGAAGGAAGGGATGATGTTGACCGTTTACTAACTGGCAGGTTATAGCAATGGTTTAGTTATGAATCTAACAAGTTCCAGAAGCCCCATTAATATTTCATGGCATTTTGTATTTAGTTCAAGGAGCTCTTAAGGTGCATGTAGTACCTGTATTTAAGTTCCAGGCGTGGTTTAAGATCCCTTTGTATACATCTATCATTTGCGCTCTTAGTTTGTTGCTGTTACTACTATAGCCCCATAAGGCCCATAATCCTTGTTCGTCTACTGCCAGATCAACTTGAGTGCTGCCACCCCTCTGGTAATTGGTCTTCTTCGCTGAACCAGGCAAGCCTATCTGTTTTTCCTCGCGCTCAGTTCGCAAATTGTACTTGACAACGTCGTTCGTACCCGCTCTGCCATAACAACAACAAAAAAGAACACTATTTATTACTTTTAGTGCGGTTGTAGAAAGTTCCTGAATGCACTCGAAAGATTTCAAGGATATCGTCATGTGAAAGTACTATCGGTTTTTAACAGTGCATGTGTCTCGATACAACCATCTTGGCAAGCTAGCCGATTAGAGACAAGGTCATGATGTTGATTTCCCTTACTAGTAGATGATTACCACTTTAGTAAACTGGTATATCACCGAATTTTTAGAATGAGCGCCCCGGAATTAAGTTTCAAAAAAATGATCCAGGTACTAGAAACGACACCTTTGATATTTTGATATGCGACCTGTTTAAGTGATGATTACAGTAATAAGAAATAATCCTTTAAACCCTTGTTTTCCCGTTGGCCATACTCGATCAGATTAAACGAATACAAATAACGTGTTACCTATTGTAGTAAAGGTAAGGTCCATACACCACTCCTCCAGTTCCATCCCAGTTGTAGGGCAGTTTGTACTTCTTACGAGCGATACCTGCTTTGAAGGTGTCCATGTTTTCAAACTCTTCAAGCACGTTTCCGCCGTGGTCCTCCATAACGAATATGGTCTCAGAACCCATGATTCCTCAGTCATGTCCAATACTGCCGCACTGTTACGGACCGTTAAGAGCAGTTAACGGACCATACGTTCTGCACAAACCGTCACTATTACTCACGGTCCGTATGCTGAGCACATACGGAGCATGCATCTCATTATTACATGAGGGCACAATGCGTCACGGTTCGTTCGATCCGTGCAGTCCGAAGCACAGGCGGCCCAGACGTAGTATGTGTCACTGAATGAATATATTAATATTCACATGCACAAATTTTAAAATGCGATGAGTCGTCGAAACTCCCATGAACTAAAATAGTCCAAAAGTCAAAATATAACAAAACAAAGTTAAGATACCTTCAACTGAACGTATCCTTGTCTTTCCTGGCCGGTTTAAGTGGCATTTTGTCGAGTTTTGCAATTGTAGGTACTATCCACTAAAGAAGAATTAAAGGCTGGCTACAAAACAAACAGACCATCTCCACGCGCCTTCACACGAAGCACCATAAGTTCGAGAATAATCGACGAATCCGCTCCAAATAACCATCGGCTAATCTGCAGGTAACGTGTGCTCCTGCTTCTGGCTCGCTTGCTCCACAAAACCCATCGCAACTGCACAATAATTGCTCGCTCATCAACAACCACTGTTGACCTTTACGCTTCGATATGATCGCAAACGACCAGGTTTAATACGCGACGTGAATATTCAAGCTTAGCGACCGCGTTCGCGCAACAATGCAGCACTGGCTATGGGAGGGATGGTACTATTGCTTCTAGGTCAATCAATCGGTAAAATAATATTGAAGCCCTTGTAATTTTTAAGAAGATCCAATTTGCCCTAGCAGCACCGAACAGATACGAATCTTATAGCGGAGCTAAAAAAAATGAGCGGCAGTGGAAAAAGTGAACAAGAACATGTACCACATTTTCTCCATAAGAAGTGAAAACCAGGAAGTTTTCTGGACGTTTCACGTTGCAGTCATGCAAATCAACGGCAAGAAAATGTACAAGAAAGTGTGCTGCAATTAGACCTATTGTTGTTTTTCAGAGTTCTGGTCAAGGGCACCCAACTTTTAATTTTTCACATTTCACTCACCGGGTTAGGCTATTTTTCGTAGAGAGTAAAATGGAATCCTAAAATTTTCGGATTCAAAAATGTGATGAAAGAAGGTATCTGAAAAATTATCTTCTTCGTAACACGTTAAATTGCATCTAAAATTTTCGGGAAAATAATTCTGAATTCCTCGTAATTTCGAAGACTCAAGTTCCTCTAGAATGGCCGAACACTGAGATGCAAATTTTATAGCGCCACTTAGAATGCATTTCTATAGAGCTAAAAGTACTTTATGAATAGCTACAAAAGTGTTTTCAATTGAAAGTATTTGAGGAAACAGTCGTTGGGTGGCCCTGTCTCGTTGCCTTCTCCGCTTAGCATTACACGATATATTTTATATTTAGTATGAGCAAACTATAAATCATTAGCTTCGCTTTTAGCCCTCCTAAATTTATGTAAGCGCTGTTTAGAGTGCATTTTTCAGTCAAAAGTACTCTGGACAGCCTTAAATGTGTTTTCAATGCATTTAGGGGTAAATCATCGTTGGGTGCCCCTGAGTTTTGAGAATAATAATAATAATAATAAAAGATATCGCGCACATAAATTTTACTTTACGATATCTTCAGCTGTATCTTCTATTCAGATGCATAGCGGGGGCCAGATTTTGCCTTTTTCCTGGGCGGAGAATTCTCGTCCTCCTTCACCAGTTTGGACAACATATTATGGAGAAAGACGTTGTTAATCTAAGCAAATAAGTGTGGTAGAGTCAAAAACCTATGCAAGCGGCTGGACGAACAATGTGACAGCAGCTGAGACAGCGAACGTTAGAAGAATTCGAACTTGAAAACCAGGGCTGCCCTGTTGAAAACTTACGGACGGTCCCGCGATCGCCTTTTGTTTTCTGGTCAAAACTAACGCAGCGAACCCTCGGTCAGTCGATTGACCTAGAAGCAATAATACCATCCCTCCCATAGCAAGTGCTGCATTGTTGCGCGAACGCGGTCGCTAAGCTTGAATATTCACGTCGCGTATTAAACCTGGTCGTTTGCGGTCATATCGAAGCGTAAAGGTCAACAGTGGTTGTTGATGAGCGAGCAATTATTGTGCAGTTGCGATGGGTTTTGTGGAGCAAGCGAGCCAGAAGCAGGAGCACACGTTACCTGCAGATTAGCCGATGGTTATTTGGAGCGGATTCGATTATTCTCGAACTTATGGCGCTTCGTGTGAAGGCGCGTGGAGATGGTCTGTTTGTTTTGTAGCCAGCCTTTAATTCTTCTTTAGTGGATAGTACCTACAATTGCAAAACTCGACAAAATGCCACTTAAACCGGCCAGGAAAGACAAGGATACGTTCAGTTGAAGGTATCTTAACTTTGTTTTGTTATATTTTGACTTTTGGACTATTTTAGTTCATGGGAGTTTCGACGACTCATCGCATTTTAAAATTTGTGCATGTGAATATTAATATATTCATTCAGTGACACATACTACGTCTGGGCCGCCTGTGTCCGAAGACATACGGAGCGTGCATCTCATTATTACATCAGCTATAAACCATAAACCAACACAAGCGCAAAAACCAAGAAAGGCGCACTCCAAGTGTAATATTCCTCGTTCTATAAACCATAAACCAACACAAGCGCAAAAACCAAGAAAGGCCACTCCAAATGTAATATTCCTCGTTCTATAAACCATAAACCAACACAAGCGCAAAAACCAAGAAAGGCGCACTCCAAATGTAATATACCTCGTTCTATAAACCATAAACCAACACAAGCGCAAAAACCAAGAAAGGCGCACTTCAAGTGTAATATTCCTCGTTCTATAAACCATAAACCAACACAAGCCGCGCAAAGCCAAACATTCCTCGTTCTATAAACGATATACCAACACAAGCGCAAAACCACTCATTCCTCTATAAACCATAAACCAACAAAAGCGCAAAAACCAAGAAAGGCACTCTCCAAATGTAATATTCCTCGCTCTATAAACCATAAACCAACACAAGCGCAAAGCCACACATTCCTCGTTCTATAAACGATATACCAACACAAGCGCAAAACCACTTATTCCTCTATAAACCATAAACCAACACAAGCGCAAAAACCAAGAAAAGCACACTCCAAATGTAATTTTCCTTCTTCTGTAAATCAAAACAACCCAAAAACCACGGTATGCACGCTCTAGGTTTTATGCTTGTGTCTAAATGTGATATTCTTGTAAGTCAAAAACCGAAAGAAGCGCGCTTCAAATCGAAGAACAATCGTCAATAAGTTTACAATTAATATAAGCACGCACCGAATGTAAAGGCAAGATGAGCAAGCACCAAAAATGTAATATTCTAATGTAGTGTTTCTTTATGTAACCAAGATAAGCATGCTCTATATAAATTTAATCTTCTCTATACGCCAAAAACAAAAGCAAGCGCACTTTAAATGCAAATGTTCTTCGCTTGCTTTTCTTACTACGTTTGCTGCACAAAACAAATGTAATATTCATTATAAAACTGCTCTTCGTTCTAATATCACAAACGAGGGCACGCGCGCTTCAAATGAAACAATCGCCTCGTTTTATATAAGCTGTCAAATTTTTCACAATAAGCACGCAGTACTTTGTATAACCATGATAAACATGCTCTATATCAATTTAAGTTTCCCCTTTCTATACGCCAAAAACAAAAGCAAGCGCACTTTAAACGTAACTTTTCTACGGCAAAACTGTAAGAACAATCGTCTGCAGTTTATGAAATAGGAATGTTGATGAGAACATATTTTCACAACGAAGTGTAGTCGTCAGTAGTAGGGCTTCAGCAAACTTAACCGTTTTGGTGTCTAGCAAGGTCTAGCTAGGTCTAGTCTATGACGTCACCGATTGTTATAACCTGGGAAAAAGTGGATTCCCTTAATTGATATGCATAAGCCTATGACGTCACCTCGGAAAGAAGTGCCTTCCTGCATACTAATTTGGATTAGGTTTACTAATGAGCGTCACTCTACTACAATAGGAACAATAGGCTTGCCTAGACTTGCCCGTGAAGTAACTTGAGCTCGGTTTTTGGACAGTCTATTAAAAGGAAAATAGGAATAAGAGAAGCGATCACCTAGCAACGTGAGAAACGGCTTCCTATATCTTATTTAGCGCTAAAACTCAGATATATAAACAAAACACATGTGCACAAAGTGGAGTTGAAAAGTCTTTATTTCCGTTTAGTTTATGTCTTCTTATTGAGCTCTAAAACTCACAAAGTAGAACTGAAAACTCTATTTCAATTTTGTCTGACGTTTTTCTCCGTTCTATCTCGAGGAAATGAAAAACTATTAAAGTCTTGTAATTTGACGCACTGTTAGTCAGTTAATTATGCGAGTTCATGAGCCCAAAGTTGAATACAAATTTGCTCTACAGGAAAGACCCAAGGGAGCACCTTGACGTATTATTATAAAACAAATAACTTAACAAGGATCAATTAAAACACGCGACTAATAATTGTTAGCAATAAAATCTGACACGAGATACCGTTTAAAACAAAAGAGTCAAATACACAGCGATTTGAAAGAAATCTATTAAAACAGTCAAAGAAAGCAAGTCATGTTTTACTTACTCCTCTCCCTTTTCAATTTTATTTCCCTCCTCAATTTTTTCTTTTTCCCTTCTCCACAATTTTTATTATTTTCCCTCCTCAATGTTTTTTATTCCCCTCCTCCACCTCCACCTCCACCTCTTCATTTATTCTATATATTTTTCCATCCACAAATACATCGACCTCCTAGCGACCCTACATCGACCCCACATCGACCCCACATCGACCCTACATCGACCCCACGTCGACCCTACATCGACCCTACATCGACCCCACATCGACCCCACATCGACCCTACACTCAACTTTTTTTTAGCACTGCTTCGTAAATAGTGAAGCTATATACCACCACCGCCACATTTCTATTGTTACAGCAGGGGTACCCCTACTGTACCCTTCCTGTACCCCTCCTGTACCCTTCCTGTACCCCTCCTGTACCCCTCCTGTACCCTTCCTGTACCCCTCCTGTACCCCTCCTGTACCCCTACTGTACCAAAACAAAAATGAGGAGGAGGAGGAGGAGGAGGAGGAGGGAAAACAATAAAAATGAGGAGGAGGAGGAGGAGGAGGGAAAACAATTGAAATGTGGTGGCGGTGGTGGTGGTGGTGGGAAAACAATAGAAATGTGGCGGTGGTGGTATATAGCTTCACTATTTACGAAGCAGTGTTAAAAAAAAGTTGAGTGTAGGGTCGATGTGGGGTCGATGTGGGGTCGATGTAGGGTCGATGTAGGGTCGATGTGGGGTCGATGTAGGGTCGATGTGGGGTCGATGTGGGGTCGATGTAGGGTCGCTAGGAGGTCGATGTATTTGTGGATGGAAAAATATATAGAATAAATGAAGAGGTGGAGGTGGAGGTGGAGGTGGAGGAGGGGAATTAAAAAACATTGAGGAGGGAAAATAATAAAAATTGTGGAGAAGGGAAAAAGAAAAAATTGAGGAGGGAAATAAAATTGAAAAGGGAGAGGAGTAAGTAAAACATGACTTGCTTTCTTTGACTGTTTTAATAGATTTCTTTCAAATCGCTGTGTATTTGACTCTTTTGTTTTAAACGGTATCTCGTGTCAGATTTTATTGCTAACAATTATTAGTCGCGTGTTTTAATTGATCCTTGTTAAGTTATTTGTTTTATAATAATACGTCAAGGTGCTCCCTTGGGTCTTTCCTGTAGAGCAAATTTGTATTCAACTTTGGGCTCATGAACTCGCATAATTAACTGACTAACAGTGCGTCAAATTACAAGACTTTAATAGTTTTTCATTTCCTCGAGATAGAACGGAGAAAACGTCAGACAAAATTGAAATAGAGTTTTCAGTTCTACTTTGTGAGTTTTAGAGCTCAATAAGAAGACATAAACTAAACGGAAATAAAGACTTTTCAACTCCACTTTGTGCACATGTGTTTTGTTTATATATCTGAGTTTTAGCGCTAAATAAGATATAGGAAGCCGTTTCTCACGTTGCTAGGTGATCGCTTCTCTTATTCCTATTTTCCTTTTAATAGACTGTCCAAAAACCGAACTCAAGTTACTTCACGGGCAAGTCTAGGCAAGCCTATTGTTCCTATTGTAGTAGAGTGACGCTCATTAGTAAACCTAATCCAAATTAGTATGCAGGAAGGCACTTCTTTCCGAGGTGACGTCATAAGCTTATGCATATCAATTAAGGGAATCCACTTTTTCCCAGGTTATAACAATCGGTGACGTCATAGACTAGACCTAGCTAGACCTTGCTAGACACCAAAACGGTTAAGTTTGCTGAAGCCCTACTACTGTCGTCAAATACTACTTAAAAAGTACTCTTATTGGCTAGAGACTTTGATTCTTTTGGTGGCTCCTAAAAGAGCCTTTTTTTTGTGTCCTGCAGTGCAGGATTTTTCCTTCTTTTATGATTTTTCTTGGATTTTCTAGGTTTTTCTCCTCCGTCTTGTTAGTGCTGTGATTACTGTTTCGGTAGTCCATTTAAATACAAAAGTTTGTTGTGGTCTACGTCAAAGTAGAACTTCTGCCTTTGACAGGTATCTGATGGTCTCTCTATATTCGTCGACCCAAGACATCTTCCCACAATAGTAGAGTTATGGTTTCTCAGTATTATTCAACAGTGGGAAAATGGTTGTTTGAGACCACGCGTTAATCTATATGTGTGATAGTAGCAACCAATCACCATCGACTGTTTACTAACTTTAAGCCTTTAATTTTGTCACACCTTTCTGTTTCTTCATAATTTTTTCACATCTCATTGTTAATATATCATCGGGGCATTTATTATTCACATTTTATTTTTTCTCACATCCTTTCTTACTATTTTTACGCATCATTTTCCTGCGCACAATCTGGCTAGCAAAACGTCATTTTCAACGTGAAATCGGCGGATCAAAAAAACTCTCATCTCCCTGCAGGCCCTTACCATCATAATTTTCTTTCTTGTTTACGATCACTGACATCTCAAAGTTGTAAATAATTCCAAATATTGACTTACCCGAAACACAAGTGACAACATACTTTTTTACAATTAACCTTTCCTATGATGTACCTGCTGCTAAAAATGCTACTTAGACGTTCCAGTTCAATTTTGTGTTGTGGATCAATTTTATCCTTGGTTTAATTCATATTTCCCAAATTTGTCTTGTGCTATAATGTTTGAAAAGGAAGAAAATACAGTTCAAATCAAGAGTAACATTTCACCAATACACATAAGTTATAACCCATGATATGGTTTGAAATATTCGTTTCGGGTCGCCAACTTAGACACCGTAAAAGGTAGTCAAGAAAAAACGCGTGCTGAAAAAGGGCAAAAAGTAAAGAAAGTGAACACTGTAATGCAGTTAGTTACGATAGAATTTTAGCCAAGAGATTGTAAAATATTGCACTTTGGACACTGAGTATACATAACAGTCAATGTAAAATTATCATAATATTTGCAATTACACTATCTCGAGTTTAAAGCATCATAGTACTGAATATCTCTCTTATAATTTATCTTCTAAGTTATAGGGACCCAATAATCACCAACGTGAACCTCGCGCACTTTACGGACCGAAGAGAGCTCTTCACAAACCGTATACCCCTTTCGTTGGTCCGTACCGTCCTTACAGATCGAAAAACGGTAAATACCCACTCTTGCCATGAAAATATTCTAAGTCCCACTAATGAGATGCGATTTACGGACCGTAAAACACACTTTACAGACCGTATACCCCTTTTGTCGATCTGTTCGATCCGTACAGATCGACAAACCGTATATAACCACTCTTGCCATGAAAATATTCTAAGTCCCACTAATTAGATGCGATTTACGGACCGTAAAACACTCTTTACAGACCGTATACCCCTTTGTCGATCCGTTCGATCCGCACGGATCGACAAACCGTATATCACCACTCTTGCCATGAAAATATCCTAAGTTTCACTAATGAGATGCGATTTACGGACCGTAAAACACTCTTTACAGACCGTATACCCCTTTTGTCGATCTATTCGATCCGTACAGATCGACAAACCGTATATAACCACTCTTGCCATGAAAATATTCTAAGTCCCACTAATTAGATGCGACTTACGAACCGTAAAACACACTTTACAGACCGTATGCCCCTTTTGTCGATCCGTTCGATCCGTACGTATCGACAAACCTTATATAACCACTCTTGCCATGAAAATATCCTAAGTTTCACTAATGAAATGCGATTTACGGACCGTAAAACACTCTTTACAGACCGTATACCCCTTTTGTCGATCTATTCGATCCGTACAGATCGACAAACCGTATATAACCACTCTTGCCATGAAAATATCCTAAGTCCCACTAATGAGATGCGATTTACGGACCGTAAAACACTCTTTACAGACCGTATACCACTTTTGTCGATCTATTCGATCCGTACAGATCGACAAACCGTATATAACCACTCTTGCCATGAAAATATTCTAAGTCCCACTAATTAGATGCGACTTACGAACCGTAAAACACACTTTACAGACCCATACCCCTTTTGCCGATCCGTTCCTGATCCGTACGGATCGACACATGGCTTATACGGACCGTTACGGTGCGGGTGTATTGGACAACCCTCTGATTCCTCGCGGATCTTTCATCCATGCTCCATACTTCTCGTACCTATTGTTGTGAGTCACAGGCTTACCAATAGACTTGATGTGAGTGCAGCCATCTGCAAGAAATAGACACTGGTTGTCTGATGATAACTTCCTAACAGAATGTCAAATAATAAAACGTCAGTTACCTTTACCAAGTGTTCTATATATTGGAGGTAATGTGACCCCGGTACGCACGTCAGACTTCGGACCACTAGCTCCCATTTCTGTCTACATGTAGTAAGTTTCAATGGCAGGTCTTTGGCCACGATTTTAAATCACCATGGTCTAACTTGGACTATCTTTGTTTGTCATTTTTATTAGCTTTTATTAGAGTGCCTTTAAACAAGGTCGAAAAGTCAAGTGAGCTTCGACCCGAGACAAAACAAAACATTTACATATTTTAGATACCTATGAAACTCTTAACTACTCTCAAACAACCTAGTCTTGAAAGTTGTGTGTTATGTACAGTGAAATGATCAGTTAGTGTCCACCTTGAAAGACTTTTAAAAAAATTAATGGTTTTTATGATAAAATTCGGTCTAAACGCAAGTTTGGCGTGAGAACAGAAAAGAGCTGACACTAAGGTGGTCATTCAAGTTTCCGGCTTTGATGACAAAGTTAACATCCTAGGCTTAGTAATTGGGACTAATAAGCCCCCCTTTTTTTTATTTCAAGCCCATTTGGTGGGGGGGCTTAATAGAGACAGGGGACCTATTTGATTGATTAATACAGTCTATCATGTATTAGTGAAGAATAGTGAAGGGAGGGGAGGGGAGGGGAGGGGGGCTTATTAACTTTCTTCCCCTGAAAGGGGGGGTGGGGGGCTTAATAGAGGATTTACGGTATGGTTGATAACCAGTGTTAACGTGGTCTAGTGGTGATGAAAAAACCTTGTTTGCGCGCCGAAGAAAACGAAAAGCAAACCTCTCTGAAGAATATAAATATTCTCCTTGGCTTTGTCCAGGTCATGCTGCTCATTAACGATCATCTTCAGCAACTAAAAATGTGAAAAGAAGGAACGGATCATTAAGACGGCTGTCATTTAGAATTAGCAATTAGCCCACAATATAAACATACAATTTAACTATTACCAGTAAAAAACAGATCTCAAAAATTGAAACAGCCTGCATGGCTGTAGCTTGAGAGAAGTTAGGAGGAGGAGGCGCGCCCAGGTTAGAGTAAATTCCACGGCAAGCGCCCTGGAAACTAGGAAATAACGCAGATGCAGATAAGATGGCGACAAATAACACTTAAGTTGAATTGAAACTGCAAGGGCAAAGATGGCTCCCCCCCCCCCCAAAAAAAAAAAAAAAAAAAAAAAAAAAACGTGAAACAAACGGCGAATATGCACGCATCTCTTCTCCCACCCCTCCCTCCCCACAACATAAGCGGTCTCTTCGCATTAATATGTAACTTTAACTTTTTGATTATGTCTAAAAAAGAAATAAGTGTTACAGCTCTTAACGTACAGAGGCAAGGTACCTTTTTAAAGTAGTGCTAAAGGTGCAATCTTATGTTTTTAGAATAAAGTTACCTATTTAAAGTAACACTAAAGGTGATATCTTATGTTTTTGGAATAATGCTACTTACATGCTTTTTTGCCAGCTCAAGAGCAAGGTCTTTTATTGATAACTTCTTTGAATGACTGTGATGGTAAGATCGCTTGCTCCGTGATTTTACCAAGGAACTTCCGAGACCGTTGTCCTGCAAATTCATTAAGGGTATTATAAGAAGAGAGAAAAAAGGAAGCAGAGGGATATGTAAAAAGCCATAGGGATATATAAGAGTGCAAGGACGATACAGGGTAGTAGAGGGGATATGTAGAAGAGTACGGGGATATATGGGAGTAGAAAGACGATACAAGGGATTAGAGGGAATATGTAGAAGGGCACGGGGATATATAGGAGTGGAAAGACAATACAAGGGAGTAGAAGGGATATGTAGAAGGGCACGGGGATATATGGGAGCGGCAAGACGATACAGGGGAGTAGAGGGTATATGTAGAAGGGCACGGGGATATATGGGATTACAAAGACGATACAAGGGAGTAGAGGGTATATGAAGAAGGGTACGGGGATATATGGGATTACAAAGACGATAGAAGGGAGTAGAGGGAATATGTAGAAGGGCACGGGGATGTATGGGAGTGGAAAGACGATGCAGGGGAGTAGAGGGTATATGTAGAACGGCACGGGGATATATGGATTTACAAGGACGATACAAGGGAGTAGAGGGTATATGAAGAAGGGTAAGGGGATATATGGGAGTACAAAGACGATACAAGGGAGTAGAGGGGATATGTAAAAGTGTACGGGGATATATGGGAGTACAAAGACGATAGAAGGGAGTAGAGGGGATATGTAGAAGGGCACGGGGATATATGGGATTACAAAGACGATATAGGGAGTAGAGGGTATATGTAGAGGTGTATGGGGATATATGGGAGAACAAAGACGATACAAGGGAGTAGAGGGGATATGTAGAAGGGCACGGGAATATATGGGAGTACAAAGACGATACAAGGGAGTAGAGGGGATATGTAGAGGGTACGGGGATATGTGGGAGTCTAAAGACGATACAAGGGAGTAGAGGGGATATGGAGAACGGTAAGGGGCTAATATATGTTGGAGTAGAAGCTGAATAGAGATAAGAAGACTGTATTCCCATGCCTTGCAGAGGGCGTGGGAATACGCGGGAGTATTGGGCACGGTTCCTCGAAGGTTGATTAAGTTTAACCCAAGGATAACACAAATTTTAAGCCTACTCCTCTTGCCCAAAACAAAGTACTGGGAGCGTAAAATATATTGTTGAGCCTTTACTTTGAGATCCATTAACAACAACACAGCATGATGATGATGATCGAACTTATAAAAACAGTCGAGGAGTAAAATTTTAATTCTGGATTGGCGCAAATCGTCCTCTCAGGAACCGGGCGCCAGTAGGAAGGATAATAGAACAGGGATATATACATAAGATAACAGGGAACATGGACTACATGGAGGATACAGGGACGTTTTGGAGAAAATTAACATGGAGAAACCTGGTTCTAGGGAAGGACAAGGGGGTTATGGGCGATATAGGGAAGTAGAGGAGGCAATAGGACAATTGCACGATGACAGTCATTTGTCACCGGTTCAACGGCAGAGTCCTACACTTTGTTGTTTTCTTGTGCAAATTAGGGCTATTGATTCTTATAGTGGGATTAACAACTTTAAATAGGGAAGCAAAAACGAAATGAACTCTGAAAGCTGTTGTCAAATGACGCCATCGTGAAAATGGCCTATTGGGAACCTAAACTTACCAGTAAAACGCCAAGCAAGAGGAAAAATAGTGGGCACAATCGAAACATCCTCGGAGAAAATAAATCTCTGAACCTGCAGAGGAAAAGTAAGTAAGTAAGTAAGTAAGTAAGTAAGTAAAGACTTTATTTTATGAGGGTTAGCACGAAATAGCCGGGGCTAATAAACTTGTGGCCCTCTAAATAATAAATAATAAAATAATAAATGAGTATACTAAGCTATGAAAAAATACAAGATTAAAACCAATTAGAATACAGGTACTATAGAATCTACTAAATTATTTAAAAGATAAAATATAGCGTTATAATAATCTCACAGTTCATCAGGTAACTTAAATAGAAAAATGATCAAGATTCTGCTGTTGTTTAAAAAATTCATTCCACAATGCTTTTTTTAAAGAGTCAACTGAGTCCCTTTGCCTTACAGGCAAAGATAAACTGTTCCACGCTTTGCAAGTTGTTACGGTAAAAGTTCTGCCTCCTTCTGTTTCGCGATTATACCTCGGAGAGGTTAGGTTAAAATTACAGTACCTGGTTTTTCTACTGTGGATGTTACTGTTTAATTTAAGTAGATCGTTGAGATAAACAGGGACGTCACCTTGTAATCGCTTATAAGCAATGATACATTTGGATATGAAAGCGTCTGTATAATAAGGCAACCATTTCAGCCGATTAAACAAGGGAACTGATGGTGCTTGAGGGGGGGCATTCAGGATTACTGTAGCTGCTCGTTTTTGGAGCTTCAGGACCCGCCCAAGGCTTTCCTTATCACAATTAGTCCAAAGGACGCTTGCATAATTAATCACTGGCCTGATCAAAGCATTGTAATAAAGTAATCTTTGTTTAAGGGGCAGATAATTCATAATTTTCTTTAACAAGCCGATGCGCTGTGAAACTTTCTTACAAACAGTCGTAATATGCTCAGAGAAAGATAGCTCTTCATCAATCTCAAGACCTAGTAGCTTAACGTTCATAACGTTAGTTAATAAACTGCCATTGCAAGTAATCTCAGGGTTATTGTTTATTTTGGTCGAGAGTCGCTTTCCCTTCACGGTGAGGACCTTGGTCTTTTTTTCGTTGAGTGGAAGCCTGTTGGCCAAAGCCCAGTTAAAAACTTCTGATACAGATGTATTAAGAGATTCCTGCAGTCTTCCCATCCTGCCACAATCTGCTGACGATGTGATTGTAGTATCGTCTGCATAAAGATCGATTTCAGAGGAGCTGACATGAAGTGGCAGGTCATTAATAAAAACTGTGAAAAACAAGGGGCCGAGTATACTGCCCTGGGGGATCCCATGTTTCATAAGCGCCACTTCTGAGACGCAACCACCCAAATGGACAAGCTGGTGTCTGTCCGCCAAATAAGACTGGAACCACTTCATTGTTTCGCCAGCAACACCATATACTTTCAGCTTATCCAGAAGAAGACCATGATCTACCATGTCAAAGGCTTTACAGTAGTCTACTAGCACCACGCCACTAACTCTATTCTTATCTAAATTGAAGAGCAATTTGTCAATTATCTGTATGAGAGCGGTGTCTGTACTGTGATTCTTCCGAAAACCAGACTGGCGAGGATAAATCAGATTGTTTTCAGTTAGATAACTGTATAAGGAGTCATGCACATGTCTCTCGATAACTTTAGAAAGGACAGGTAGCACAGATATTGGTCGAAAATTCTGAACGTCACGTGAGTCACCATTCTTGTACAGAGGAGAAACTTTAGCTGTTTTCCAACGACTTGGAAATGATCCACTGGAAAAGGAAAAGTTAATCAATCTCGCAACAACAGGTGCTATAACAGGTGCCGCTATACGCAACAGCTGAGAACTTATTTTATCAATGCCAGCAGCTTTGCGCGGACTTAACTTTTGTAACAAAGTAAGCACCTGCGCACTAGTGATGGATGGAATGACATAAGATGTATCAGGACTTTTTCTGGATCTGACAAAGTCTTGCAGCTTTGAGGGGTCTGATGGAACTTGCGGTAATGTAGATCTTAACCTATCTGCTATACTGGAAAAATGAGCGTTAAAATGTTGCGCCATTAGCTTTTTGTCATCTATAACAGCTTCCCCGATATTAATACTGTTAATATCGCGTCTGTTCTTTCCTGAGCCAGTCAGTGTTCTTATTGTCTTCCATATTCCTCTTGAATTGCCTTTATTTTCCTCGAAGGCATTGCAGAAAAATTTTCGTTTTGCGCTCCTAATCATCGCAACTGCTTTGTTTCTTGCCGCTCTGTAATTAGACCAATCATCAGCATTATTGGAACGCCTTGCGGTTTTTAGGCAATTATCTCTCAGGTGTAGCTGTTTCAAGACAGAGCTAGTCATCCAAGGAGCTTGGGCAGCGCGCTTTACACGCTTTTCACGCCAGGGGCAATTTTCATCAAGTACGCTATTGAAAAGTGACTCCCAAGAGTCCAGCATATCATCAATCTCATCAAATACGAATACTGTATCCCAAGGGGCCTGACTCAGTGCTTCTTTGAATCGGTTCTCGTCGAATTGCTTCATGTCACGATATCTAATATTCTGATTTTTCTGCATGCTACAAGATGCGCGCTCGTTGTTATATTTGCGTACAGCAAAAATAGGTACGTGATCAGAGAGGCAACAGGTGAGAGTAGATATATTCAATATTCGCTGAGGATGATTTGAATAGATGTGATCTAAACAAGTACCGCTAACTGGACGCGTCACCTCATTAACTAGCTGTGTGAAATTCATACCGTGAACCGCTTTAAGTAACCGATGTTTTTCAAAGCTCTTCTTATTTCTTCCATCAATATTCACATCGCCTAAAAATATTGTCTCCTTATTCAGCAAGTACACACGTTCCAAATTTGCCTCCAGAGATAAATCATCAGCTTTGGTGTATGAGGGTGGGCGGTAAATACTACCAATCAATAAAGATCGTTTCGATTTAAAAGGACAAACTTCAAGCCAAATGACTTCAACTTCTTGATTTTCCAGATCAGTTCTACGAATAACATTCAGGTTATCGTTTATATATGCCATGACACCGCCGCCAGATTTGTTTACCCTGTCTCTACGTAGATAGAATAACCAGGCACCTCAAAGAGAGTATCCGGCACGTTCGGCTTCATGTTTCATTTAAAAGCAAAACGTCCAACTGAGGTTTACCAAGTTTTCCCAAAAGAAACAGTTTTATCTGGTCAAATTTATCCAAAGTCAGATGATTAACATTCCAATGTCCGATCCGAATGCCCTTTTCATCCAGCCCTAGGTCAAAATAACCGTGTAGAATTTCAAAGGCAATGTGAACTGGAAGACTTTAGGCTTATTTTCTTACCAGTTTCTTCCAAAGCTTCTCTTTTCTATCAGGGTCTATCAGCAATGTTTCTTGATCCCTCACTTGAGGCACACTTGCCAAGTGAATGATTTCCGTGGCAGAGTTAACCTTTTTATTGCCTTCAGTTGTTTATTTT